TTTTTTCACTAAATTGTTTATAACTTTTGCAATTTCTTCGAACCCCTCTTGAAATTATTCAAAAAGTTACTAGAGGTCATTCCGAATCGAATGAGCCCTGGATCATAATTTTCGGTGCCCTTGGACAGAAGTTCCAAAAAAAGGATCTGGTGACCCAGACTATATAGGTTGATCGCTGCCTTCATAATCAAACATCCTTTTCTTCTTGGATATCCTTTTATTATTAAAATCTTTTGGCAAATCATAACTGCTTTTCTCAATAAACTGACGAGTATCAGACAAGCTATTTTCGAATCCAGTTTGTCGATATTCTTTGATCCAATCACAAAATGTCCTGAATAGACTTGTACAGATTGCCATAATTTGCTTATAGTATTAACACGCGTTGATACAGGTGACTGATAAAGATTTTCTTATTAATAGTTTATTACGCACCTAGGGAGAAAAGTACGGCATTCTGGTCCGCGAAATTTTGTCAAAATCGCGGGCGAGGATGTCGTACTTTTTACCCGTGGTGCGTATACGATTTTTTCTCACTGGGCATTGGGTGATGATAGTGTTAATGAACGCACAGCTCGACGTTGGTTTGCAAAATTTCGTTCCGGAGATTTCAGCCTCGAAGATGAGCCCCAAAGTGAATTTCACTAGTGAAATTCATCATGAAACATTTTCAATCACCTTCAAACAAAATCCCCAAAGTGTTCGACCTACAGCAATCCAGGACGAGGTATTGAGGATCCTAAGGATGAGCTGGGCATCAGCTCCCATGCGGTTTCGTATTGGAAAGGCCAAAAAGTTCGAAAAAAGGGTGAATCACAGTTTGAACGATCGACAGAAATTGTCAGGTTTCGAGGTCTGCCCTTCTATGCTTTTTGCCTAACCAAAACGATTCTTTTTTGGATTGGATCATCACGTGTAATGAAAAGTGTATCATCTACGACCACAGATTGGATACTGATAAGCCAGGCACTTTCCGAGGGCGAAAACTGACAAAAAAAGACCATGGTTCAGTTCAAAACAAATTTTCATTGATTGATTTGTTATTTCTGTCCATTGATGTAATTTGAGAATGAATGGGGAATTAACTTGATTTTTTTTTTCAAATACGTTTAACGTCCAATGACGAGAATGATATTAATAAAGGAGGATTGCTAGTTTTCAACAAAGAACTTAGTCGTTGAAGAAGAAAATTTATTTATATATTCAAATAATTAGAATCATTGTAAGTACTCTTGGCAATAGGTCTACATTTGATTATTAATAATAGTAATGGCATTTGGCGATCATACAATATTTACTAGTGACTCGCTTGACATTTGACTCAACTATTTCAAGGAAACCATGTTCCTGTTCAGAATATCACCCCTTTTTTTTAATACAACAGTAGTCAGTTTTGAAAAGCATAACCAATGTTTTGGTTAGTATTGAACCAAACCACAGAATATCGTAGTATTCTGTGACCATTCAGCAAGAATTTATCTGTGTCATTCTGTGTCAGTAATCACTTCATAAGGGCAATCGTTCAGCGAAAAATAAAGCGGCTGAATTCGGTGTATAACTCAGAGTAATAATAAGACATAGAGTTGCCATGCCTGTACGGTGCCTATACCAATACAATACATGTGTTTTGAAACGGGTATCGTACTATCCTTTTCTGTACAACTTATGGGCGAGGGGCGGTGGCGGATAATGGGAGGTTATGGAGTTTACATTTGAAGTAAGTGGGACCATAAAACAGTGGCGGTTAGTTTAGTTGATAATCGGAGGGATATTAGAAAAACTGGACCCATTTCCATAATCGTTGATACTAAATCAGATTTCCTGTAGGAACTATTTGAACAGAATACATTTTCACCTGAAATGATTTATTTTATAAATATTTAATATCCCTCCGGTTATCAACTAAACCAACCGCCACTGTTTTATGGTCCCACTTACTTCCTGTAAACAAACAAAGTTATGCTGCCTTCGATGTAAGGATGGAAAAGGCATCTCTATTTTCTTTTGTTACTCTGAGGTATATACTGTTCATCACATTCAGTGATATTTTTTGTGAAGTGGCTTTAACTGCTATGCTATAAGCTGGTGGACGTGAGAATTTCTTCAAAAATTACGTTAATGGGCCAGGCCTGCAAATGAGTATTAGTTTTTCAATTTGAATGCGTTTCGAAAGTTACTAGTGATTCAGATTTTTTCAGTTAACTGCTGTTCAATTTTCCGATTTGTACCGAATCGTTAAGTAATCGGTTACTTTCAGAGGAGTGTCCTGCGACAGTTAGACCTTGGCTCCCACGGTCAGAGAAAGTCGAAATCTGTATAACATAATTTGGAAATTACGACTTCAAACTTAGAATTTATAGTTCTCTTCACTATATTATAACCCAGTCTAACACCTCCATCCAACCTGGCATTATTCACAATTCACATTAATCCAAGTTTCGAGTTGGAATATCAATTGCAGGAGATGAGATGTAAACAGACTGATATATACACAACAATATAAGCCTCACCAAATACGGGAGCCAAGTTGCAATCATTGTCGCGAGTCGACACTTCAATTTATGGAACTCGCATAATCGCTATGTCAAAATATGAAACGTCAGAAGTCAATAAAGTAATTTCAAAGAGCATTATGAACGATACACAACACAAGCAACAATGCACATAGGGATATCAACAGAAAATTAACGGCTGTAATGTGACGCATAAATAAATATATATTTTTGTTTATAACATATCTTCATCAATATTTTAAGGTAAGTAAACAAGAACCTTATATAAGACACAAGTATTTAATTCAATAAATTGACAACTTTTACGATGTTTTAGTTATGAATCATTTGAAAATTGCCACTCCCATTAGAGGGATCTTTAATTATCAAACTGATTTTTTCAGATATGTGGCTGCAAATTGTTGGATGTATTTTTTTAGTGAGTTTAGGTTACACTCAAGATTCCTATAATACAATTAATGCAAATGAAAATAGAAATGTAAATGACAATCAAATTTACAACAATTTGAATTCAAATTTTAATCCCAGTTTGAATTACAATCCCAATCCAAACTATAATAATCAAAATCCAAATGTGAATTATGGATCAAGTTTTGATCAAAGTACAAATAACAACCCCAACCCCCCCAACTACAATCCAGGTTTAAACTATAACCTGAACACTTATGGGGGACAACAAGGGACATACAGTTTCGGAAATATTGAAGAACTCAAATGTCCGCAACATTGGATCCAGTTTCAGAATTCGTGTTATCGGTTCATCAAATCTCCTTTGAGAGCCTACAGCGAAGCTAGGCAAATATGTCAGGTGAGAGGATTTTCAGGTTTATTTTTTTGTTAAATATAAGTTTCAACCACTCATGGTAGTTCTTTAAAAAAATTCAACTAAACATACATATTTTTGTTCGCGTATCATGAATCTGAAGTCAAAATTTGATGCTTTGGTGTACTTTTGGAGATAGGAAGTCACCTTTGTGACACCTTTACAGTATTCTGTATCTCGAAAGGATAAAGAAAGCCACTTTCTTTCTGTAATTGGGAATGTGCCTTTCTCTCTTGAAGACCTTTTGGTCTTTTGAGTCCAAGCTGAGGAAAATTTTCAAAATTTGGCATTTCATTACTTTGACTTTTAGTGATATTGTCAACAAATATTAACAAAAGTGCTAGTGAAGCTATGATATCATTTAGAATATGATTCCAAAAATAGGGTTATTTTGGTTGAATAAAAGTTATATTTTGTTAAAATACTTGAAATGGGTGAATAAATGTATGCAAATTGCGATTGTGTAAAAAAGGTGATATTTCACGAGTTTTTATTTCTGGAAGTGAGTTTATGACAGGTGATTTTTTCACAGTTTCAATTTTTGAGTGGCTGAAAGTAGACTGGAGCACCAAATTTTCACTTCAGATTTGTGATCAGGGGATAAAAATATGAAAGTCCAATGAAAGATGATGAGCTGTTTTCTCGGGTTTCACTCCATGCTCTGTGTATTTTATCCTCATAAGAATTATTCTCACAACGTTGTGAGAACAATAACAGAACACGTCGCGAAACTCGAGAAACATCCAATAATAATGAGTTACAAACAAGATAGAGTCATTCTGTATATTGTATACTATTATTTTAGACATTCACTCCAGAAACTGGTGGGTCAGATTTGGTATCTATAAGGAATTCTGATCAACATGGATTTCTTATCCATCAATTGGACAAATTGGATCCTCAGCACCGTAGATGGTATATTGGAGCCCATCAGTCATCTCCCAATTATTACACCAATCCAGATGGAACACAATTAGTAAATATGGACAATGCCTTTTTAGAAAATGACTCACCTTATAGAAATGATATAGGAAAAGATTATTTAGCATATAATTTTTCAAAAAGTGTGTTACACTGGAGGTTTCAACCAGTTCGGGGAGATGAACCATTGTTATTTATTTGTGAAGCAAATGTTGCAGCTGTGCAAAGATTAGTGAGTGAAGAGAGAGGTCCTACTTATGGAATCGATATAGTTGATCCTAAGAAAATACCAAGAGGGCCTTATTTTATCAAACAAAATACTTCTTCCCATTGAAACATATCCCAGAGGTTGGAAACCTACCACAAGATAAGTAATAAATGTAGCTCATTTCTTCATTGTACTTACTATATTACTCCAGATAACAATATGAGACATAATATTTTTAATGTACGTAGTGGGGTAATCAAGTTTTGTTATTATTTGAGTGAAGTAAGAGGGAAGTTCTTAAAGAAAATTTTGGAAAAGTGGTAGAATCTTGATTTTAAAGGTAACCAGTCTAGTAAGGAAAACATATTCATAGGTGTCATTTTTCTATACTTCAGATGGATTTTTCAATTTTTGTAAAGTTTCAATGCTGTTGAGTTCCAGTAATGAAAGTAGACACATTTAGCAATAAAAGTATGACCAAATAATTGTTCTATATACAGTAACTAATGTTGAGAAACATAACTGGTATAAAATACTTGAAAATTCCACCATTTTTATTTTCATTCATTGTATCTGCAAAAACCAAAATGTCATCTGCATACGCCACCGTGCCAGGCATTTTTCCTACTACTCTGTTCATTACTTTTTGAAAAATTTCTACCGTGCTTGGTAAACCTTGTGACATTCTCAGATATTTGTATCTTCCATAAGTAGTGGCTTTGATATATAGTTTTGAACTGGCTTTATCCAATGGAATTTGATGATAAGCGGAACTGATATCTAGAACAGTAAAGTATTTTGCCCTCTCAATGCCTCCACTGAATCAAATGTTGGTAATTGGAGTCGTTCTTGTTTGATATACAGGGTGGATCTTAAATGATGTCATTAATTTGAGGTGGTAATTACTTGTCCTACTTTATGGAAAAAAGTTCATATAAATAGGTGTTCTAACTTGCTTCATTTTCGATTAACCAGGTTTCACAGTTTTACTAAAAATATTGTTCTTCTATTAATAACTCACAATTATTAAACTAAGTGTGTTCGTGAGGGGCTTCTTTTCATGAAATTATATTTGGAATTTTAATTCCAGGGTATCGTAGAGAATTACTTGATTGATAATTATGGTAAAATCATTGTACGCCACTATTTACGCTAAGTTTGCTATTATTTGAAATAGCTAAACTTCATCAAATCAAAGTCAGTAAATGGAGAACCATTTTTAAAGAGAAGCTTTTATACAAATACACTAATTTTTTTCATTTTTTGATCTGATTCTGTGAGTAAGAGGCTTGCCGCAGATACAAAATAGGTAATCTTGCGCGGAAAGATTTTGAATATGTTACAAAATATCCTAAACTATATTCATCCAATAAACAAAGTAACACAAACAAAGATAGATGCGTGATCAAAGCATCTCTTACACTGGTCAATCAGATTTAACTGCAATCGGCTGGCGGAGTTCATCTTATAGTGACGCAGTAGTCAGTTATGTTTTAACGCCTGTGGTGTGTACCTATACGGTATTTTAAAGTTTGAAATTTTTAAAATGTCNTCGAGTACTGATATGGCTGAAGAAACTGCTAATATGTGTCACTACACTCCACCTGAAAACTTTTCCTATACCCAGCCGCACATTTAAAAAAAATAAAAGATTGATTGTTCCTTAATGTGACTCTGTACAAGCAGCCTTGTCTGAGAGATCCTGTACACTATGCATGATAATGTTTTGGGGCACCCCGGTGCTTAGATGGACAAAGTATAGATCAAACAATCACAGAAATTTTTTCAATTTAGGTATGAAAGGTTGCCTTCAAACACGATTTTTTTTATTAATTATTCAATCTGATGAACATATGAAACTTGGAGAAAACCAGTGACATACAATGATTTTTACCATTAATATCAATTAGGTAACCCTCAGTGACGCCACTGGAATTATTATCTGTAATCCAATTTCATGAAAAGAAGCTCCTTGTTACTGCTAACAAATACAGCTAGTTTCCTTAAAATCGGCGAAAAGACTTTCGAGTTATTATTAAAAGAACAATATTTTTTAGTAAAACTTTGATACCATGTTACTCGAAAAGGAAGCAATTTTGAACACACGTTCATATGAACTTTTTTTATAAACTATGACAAGTTATCACCATGTGGAATTCATGACATTATTTCAGATACACCCAGTATATGTTAGTATTGATCTATTTATGTCTATAACATAATATTTTCAATATTGCCTCAGGTCTTCATGTATTTTTTTAATTGTACAATCTGGCTTTTATCACCGATTGCTGTGTCATCGAAGAGAAGATGAATAACTCAATCCTCAACAAAGCTTATGTCATTTAGATAGATATATATGACAATTGTTATTCAGTTTTTGTGGCTAATTTATTGAGTTTTCAAAAGAGAGGTATAGTTTTTAAAGTAGTTCATTAACAAAGTTGTGCAAGTTTTTATCAAAGAGTAATATTCGTGAATTTTGTTACTTTTAATTATAAAGTGTATAATGAAGAAGTAGGCTAAATTACCTTCCACTATTTTTGTGGTTTGTTTTTCACCCCTAGAATATGTTTTTTTGAGATAAAGTTTAATGTTTTCTTCCTTTCTTGTTGTTCTGAAACTTTTGTAAAAATGGGCTGCTGCTTCATATTTTACCCCTTTAAGGCATTATTTTCCTCCAAATCTGTTAATGTTTCAGTTGCTTGGCTGGTGGATATCCAACACCTACCTATGAGTGGTATAGAGAAGATTATGAAAACGATAGATTAGTGGCTCATAAAATAGACCCCTTACAAGATAGCCGTTATACAATCAGTGGGGGCACTCTCATCATTCACAATCCTCAGCAAAAACTTGATCATGCCACTTACCATTGCAAGGCAACAAACTCATTTGGAACAATTATTTCAGAAAGTGTCCAGCTCAACTTTGGATTCATCTTGGAGTTTGTACTGAAACGATCTCCTGAATCAGGTGATCAGAACTGGGGAAAATCAGTATATTGTGACCCTCCGAATCATTTTCCTGCTGTTAAATATTCTTGGTCACGTGATTATTTTCCAAATTTTGTCGAGGAAGATGGACGCGTGTTTGTTTCCAATGATGGGGCCTTATACTTTTCAGCTCTAGAAACAGTTGATAGAGCTAACTATAGCTGCAGTGTCAATTCAGAATTTTCAGATTCAGGAAGAAATGGACCATTTTTCCCTCTACGTGTCAACCCACATTGTGAGTAATAATTATTATCATCATTGATTTTTTATTTCATTTTTTTTTTTTTCAGCCAATTATCAGCAACTTAAATTTCCGAATAATTTCCCCAAAGCATTTCCAGAAGCCCCTACCGCTGGAAAAGATGTAAGACTGGAGTGTGTGGCCTTTGGATAGTAAGTGACATATATTTTTAATTAGTGTGATCTTGTTTCTGTTTCTGATATTGAGAAAAATGTTGAAGAAAAAATTTTCACATGATACAAAATTATCAAAATATATTAATTCAGTTTAACAAAAAATATTTGTATACAAAGAAATTACCGGAACAAATACTTTTCAATACAATAATTGTTCTATAATTATGTCCTAAGAAGTATACCTGTTATACCATCAGAGCCCCTTTCCATTCTAATCAATCTATGTTTTTCATTTGGATCCTTCTTGGATGTATTTGAAATAGCGAAAGTTATTCGTAACTGTAATTAAATGGGGAAAAAATTGAAAAAATCTTAATTGTCAGACATATCTCATATGGACAAACCAAACTTTTAACCAAAAACAGTTTGGCATTGGGAGTTGTAAATCCATAGTTAAAGCAGTTGAGGAATTGGTTGGGGATATAGTAGATGGTTTTGTAGCGGGCCGGGTTGCTGCAGTAAAGTATGATTCAAGCAAGTAATTCGACTGTGTCTCACATGAATTTCTTTTGCAAAAACTTGAATACTCTAGAATTCGAGGTATCACATTGAAATTTTTCAAGCCATGTCTTACAAACAGGCAACAAGCTATTTACTGTAATGAAAATAAATCTGGTTTTCAAATGGTCAAATAGGGAGTAGCTCAAGGGTTGGTGTTGCGATTTACTTTATTTATAATAACACCTGGACTGCCCGTGGGTTGGGCTACCTATCGGGCGCGTCCCCAGGTGGTGGATAGGGGAACGGCCAGGGGACTGGAGGCCCTGTCCGGGAAGCCAATGTGACCTTACGGACGGGGTCGCCGGACTCCTGGTCAGTGGCAGAAATAAGTAGGGTGAGGGGAACTAAAACCTCCCAAAAGCCTTTGCAAAACATGCCACCGTGGACCAGCCTACCCAAGCTAAGGTGTTAGGAATCGTGCCGACAGCTGAATGGCCGCAGGGTGATATGCGGTCACAAACGATCCCCTTGGGGAACTGGGCGAAACCTCATTGTAATCAACCTACCTCTGGTAATGCGGGGCTTTGCCAGAGGTGGCCAACTATTCCCTTGCTACTCATGGGAACACACATGAATGAAACCACACAAAAACAAAAAACCAATCCCGAGGCTGGACAGAAGTGCTCACCCCAGTCTAAGGGGGTGGCTGGTGATGAACAGAAATGTCCACCCCAATCTACCGCTTGGAATGAGGCTGGACATAGCAGATCACCTCCAACAGCAAGGGCACTTCCTGCGGCGGGCGCCAAGAGCTCCGCCTTGAATGAAGGCAAGGAACCGGCTGCCCCTGCAGGAAAGCTCACAAGCTCACTGTGCACCACCACGGAGGGAACCCCAAGAAGGTTGATGAAGCTGCGCAACGACAGTAATATCGCTACACCTTGAGGTGTGAGACACCTCAAGGATACCAATGAGAGTGTGTGTTCGGCGAGTCTTGGCCTACACCTGCCAATATAAAGGAGATGTCTCCTAGTGATCTGTTCACCTTCCTGGAAAGAACAGGATGGACTATGACCTAGGACCTAGAAGGACAACTCTTAAAGAGGATGTACAATTGGTCACATGTGGTCTGTAAACAGTCACTAGTTGCTGGGAGCTAAATCTAACAAAAATGGTATATGCGAAAGCAAATTTTGCCTTCGTTTTCATTTCATTGATTTGTGACACTGTGCATTATTATCCTTCTCAAGATAGTTGATGAATGTCACACCACGAACATCCCGAAATAGCAAGGCCGTAACCTTTCCAGACGATTGTTGTACTTTCGGGCGCTTTGGACGAGGTTCACCAGTTGCTCTCCACTCAGATGACGATCGAACACTGCTCAGAATCATCAAAACGTTCTTGTTTTTGGTCCACAGTGAGCTCGCGCGGTACTCACATTGAACAGAGCTTTCTCATAGTCAGATGCTCATGCAATATAAAGCCAACACATTTTTTTGTTATCATTACAATGTCAGCTAACTCACGCAACTTCACTTTTCGATCATTCAAAACTATTTTGAGGATTATTTTTATGTTTTCTGGTGTTACTGCCTTATTTGGACGTCCAATGGGTTCTGCATCATCGGTGTCTCTACGACCACATTTGAAGTCAGCAAACCAATGTTTGATTTTTTTTGAATGATAGAGCAGGGAAGTTATACACTTTTCAAGCCATTGCTTGATTGGAAGTTTTTCTCATCAAGAAACAGTGTAAAATAAAAACACGAAATTGTTTTTGATGCATTGTTTTGAAAAAACAAAAGTAGTGTCACTCTTAGCACAATAACTCACAAACTTATAAGTAGAGTATCATGAAAACAGCTTCTCTTGAAGGTTAGTACTAATTGAAAAAGCAATAAGACTAGCGCCATCTATGTGCTAGGCCCGAGACCTTTCAGCCCATGTAGTATATGGAAATGATATAATATATAATTTACAGCCTTCCTCATGCATTATATTCGCTGACGATGTAACACTATATGAATCAAGTGTCTTTTAGAGTGTTCTATCACGTCAGTTGAACAGAAAGCTGATGAATGATTTGTAGCAAATAATTTCAGGCAGAATCCTATTAAAACAAAGAATTAGATTTTCGTGTAATCCTCTGAATCAAATGGGTGGAAAAGCCAAGCCTTTGGGGCTCACATTAGGTCCGTCTCTGAAATGGCATTGTCACATCGACACACTGAGAGAGAGAGAAAGAGAGATCGAACTTTATTGTCCAAAGAACAGAATTCTTGTTACCTGACTGACTTCTAACCTTCATAACCAGTTATACCTATTAAGACAATTCAAAAAATCAATAAGCTGTGTTGCTTTGAGAACAGCCTATTTTTCTCTATTTTATTCCCATATCTGTTATGGTATAAGGCTTTGGTGTAACTCCAGTCAAAAAAAAAAGCTATAGGAATAATGGCCAACGTTGGTTTTCGTGATTCTTGCAGAAATTTGTTCAGTGAATTGAAAGTCATGACAATGTTTTCTGTATATATCTACGAGTCTCCTATACAACTTGATAAGAATATTGGAAAGTTTCAATATATTTCTGAGCTACATGATTACAACACTAGAAATAACAATCATCCGTTAATATACGGTATAGGTTTTCTACATCATTTAGTAATTTCCTTGATTTGAACTTATTCAATAAACTCCCAAATGATGTGAAAAGTATGAATCATAAGAAATTCAAAAGTACAATCAAATTGTTTTTCATTAGGAACTCTTTTCACACTCTTGACGAATATAAACTTTGCCATCTGTATTGATGCAAAACAATGAGTTTTTATACTGGTGAATTTTCTTAAGCTTCTAGTTTCTCGTCATGTATTAGTTTAAGTAATTTTTAGCAATTATTTTTATATGTACCAATTTCATGATAGTCTCATTATGCTATTATTATCAAAACAAAAAAAACTGTATATGCATTGGAACTGTATATGTTCATGTATTGTGACTTGCTACAAATGTTTTCAACATAACGTAATCAAATAAACTATGTTTTTTTAATTTGACTTTGAACTCAATTGAACAAAATATAAATGAGTCATAAAAATTAAAAAAAATATTTTTGCTTGATTAACTTAAGATTTAACGTCGTATTTGTTATTTTTCACATATCGAATTCCATAACCCAAAAAATTGTTCGGGAATAACAAATACACATTCATGAAATATCGAAATTTTATTGACGATCATTATTCAGATTCACAAAAATGCTCAGTAGTACCTGCGGATCACATTTTCGTCATGTTTTTATTGTTTCTTTAGGAACAACAACTTCAGGTGGTTTGTTAAAGATAAAGTAAAAAATCATAGATGATAAACTAGTGAGCGAACCGATAATTACAATATAAAACACATATCTAAACCAAAAGTCATTCTCTATCGTTTCTGCTTCTCCGAGGTACCAAATCAAACACATTGTGAAATTCTCTATGAAAACCAACACAAAATATCCGTAATAAATAAAAGTTGCTTTTTTGAATTTGATTTTGAACTCAATTATACAAAATATATAANCTCACGGAATCAGTGAAGCGGAAAATGGAAAGTAGAGAAAGTGAAAGTATTTCAACGACCTATAAAATAGTCATCTCTCGGAGGAATCAGTCCAGTCATCACCCGAAGACGATTGTAGATACCAACAATCGAAACGTCGTGAACTAACGTGACTTGGAATCTCTACACTTTTTTATTTTTATTATTTTCTTTTTTTGCATTCTTTCAATTTTTATTTATTCAATTATTATATTTTTACTTGTAGGTTATTTCACTATCATTTCATTTCAGGTTTATTGTTGCTTAATATAATTGTTATTTTCAACTATTCTTTTTAATTATTCTTTTTTACTTGTTTCAGGGATTTCAAATCATTTTATATAATAGACAATGGAAGTCCGAACTAGTGAAGGGTGATGTACTTTGGCAGTCATTTTGAAAATGAGGGTGTGGTTATTTTTTTGGCTCTATCTTGAGAGCTTTTTTTCAGCTAATCATATCTACAACTTCATCTAATGAGGTTTTCATTGGGAAATTTATAATAATGATATTATTAAGCACCTAGATGTTATAATAAGCTCCCTTTACATCTGAAGAGGTTATCCTATAATAATTTCAAAACCAAAACAAATCTACACAGAAAAGTCATTACTCAATCGATGACATTTTTTATGCTGATCTGGGTTGTTACTGAACGGAATTTGATTATCTTCATTTAGATAATTCGACCATAATTTGTTCATAGAGTTCTGTACTTTCGTCTTGTTTTATTCATTTCAATTGTGATTTGTATGTTACTTTCAACGTATTTTACTATCTAACGACATTCTTGACATGTGCAAAATCTTTATGTGTAGAAGCACAAATATCTATCTATCGAAAAATTAACTTTCATTCCTAGATATTCTCATCACAAAATTCAATGATTCCTCCATCTAAAAGTTTGGAGTACTTTGAAACTAGAGCCATTGACACGTCTCTTCTCAAACCCACGTATTTTCTCCGATACGTGGAAGAAGTCTTTGTTATATGGCCCCATGGATCCAAAAGCCTTCATGTATTCCCGAACCACTTCAACTCCCTGTACCCTAACCTAAAATTCACTATGAAAGTCGAAAATAATAACTCACTTTCACTTTCCTGGACGTTTTCATCACAACTCTTTCTCACACACTTTCTACCGAAAACCTAACTATACCAATCGCTATCTCAATCCTAATTCCATCATCTTCCAACCCAGCTGAATTCCGTTTTGAATTCTCTCATTCACCAGTCTATAAGACTCGCTGACAACCTCAACAGATCCATCCAAAGTTTCTGCTTTCCTCTAATATACCATCTAGACAACAAAAGTTGAAGGTCAGTTTTTAAGGTCTTTTAGTGATTTATTATATTTTAGGATATCTCCAAGTACATTCACATTTATGTATTATTGCACATGTGAATAAATAATTTGATAAAATATGAGGTGATAATCACATCAAGCATGAAAGTAGATAAAACCAATATAAAAATAATATATCTACACTCATGTACCTCACTTAACCTCACTTGCTTATTTAGTGNAATCCAAGGTAAGAACACATTTATTAAAAAAAAAATTGTACAAAGACATTTTATTTCAGCTGAACCCACATTCACCATTCCATTAACTGACAAGCATATGGATAGTAAGAGTGAACTTATTTGGACCTGTGAAGCTTTTGGAGTACCTGATGTAAATTATACATGGTGGAGAAATGGCAGGCAACTTGGTAAGAATTTTCATTGTTTATTTTCCTATGCTGACAGAAAAATGTATAAAGAAATGTCATGAAAATCAAGTACATGAATATTGAATTTTGGTAATATATTAAAGTGGTGATATAGGTACTGAAAGTTAATAAAATTTTCAGTGTAAAGTTTGATATATTACCTAAGAACAATTCAGATACATAAGTTGATGAAAATATTTTTTTTGTGTTCTAATATTCATTGGAAATATTTCTTAGGACATGAAAAGAACACTGAATATCTCCATTGCTGATATGAGTTAATGTCATTTGCTGGCTGCAAATATGTTAAATTATTCAAAATGAATCCTACTAGATAATAATTACTTTTAATGTCTGAAATTATAATAGTTGACATTGGGGAAATCAGTTTTTGAAAGTCGATTTAGTCATTTTCGAAAGTTCTAAAAGAAAATTTTCTGGGAAAGCTCAGAATTATATTTTTTTGAAAGCAGGCATTTTATATCTCTAAAGGCAGATAGTCACCTTAAAAATACTACATGGTGCCACATGATTTTAGTAATTATGTAATTTCTCCATGGTTCGACAATTCATACTGAACCACTGATTTCAGTTATAACGAACATGAATATACGCTAACCTATATTCTGCCAAGCAGAAGTAACAATTTTTTTCTCAGCTATTTGTTTCTTACTTTCATTGATAGGAATTACTATCCTAAATTCGCAAATATACCAATTCGAAAAAAGAAATTTTAAAATGTTATTTGAACTTTATCCCAAACAACGTTGTACAAATCAATTGAGAATTCTTGAAATGTTGAATGCAAAATTATCAATCAATTGATCATCTTGCTCAGACACCTAACTAAAACTAGTTTCAAATAATTTTAGATTTATTTGATGTCCAACTTCATAATATTGTATCATTTACATAATAAGGTCATTTATATTTTATGAAATCATGAAAATTGGATATGATGTTATTTTCAATCATAACATCCACAATTATTCCACTAGAAATAGAGTAGATTTTCATATAAATAGAACGAATCTGACAATGGTCATGAATTTTCTGTTCTTCAAAGGTTTACATTCCAAAATAGACTTCCACAAATGATAAAAAATGCAAGAACAGTAACAATTCACTTTCACTT